TATTTTAAAAATTAAAATTAAAAAGCAAAAAACAAAAATTAAAAAATTTTAAAGTTATTACTAATATCAATAATAAACAATTAATTAATTTTTTTTTTTTTAGAAACTAAATGCTTTAAAGATTTTTTGGTTTAATTAATATAAATATAGTAAATTAATTTAATTCAGATAATTTATTTTAATAGTATATCATATTAAAATTTTTATTACATTATTTTTATAATTTTTATAATATAATTAAAATATAATTCTTATAAAAAAAATATATCTTAATACTTATTAAATTTAATATAAAATTATATTTATAATTAATTATTTGAATCATTAAATAATATTGAAATATCATTTTATATATTATCAATTTATAAAATTTGTTAATTTTTTTTTAAATAATCTATATTCAATTTTTTAATATTATATTTAATAGTTTTTTTAACATGTATAAGAGATTTAGATTATATATTGTAACAGGACTATCATAACGTAATTGATCTATATAATGCATTATAAATAGTTATATAAGTGACATAGTTAACAGAATCGACTTAATAAATGTATTTAATTTATGTAATGCAAGAAAATATAGATTTAAATATCAAACATGTCAAACATATCAGATATATTTGATATATCTAATATAATGGATATATTAGACATATTAGATATATTTAATTTATTTATTATATCCATCTATATAGTTAATTTTATATAAATAGAGAATAATAAAATCATGTAAACTTTAGTTCGCTTTTAGTTCACTTATAGTTTTTACTTTAGATATACCTTTAGTAGTTTTATTAGAAGCCTCTAACCTAACCTTCGCATTTAGTGTTTTAATTCTTTTACTATTTCTTATTCTTTCTTATTTTCTTATTTTTTATATCTTTATTATTTATTAAAAATAAATATATTGTTATACTTCTAAATCAATTGAGCTATCTTGCTTTTAGTCTTGTTAAAAGTATACTACTGTGTAAATTATAAAACTTAAGTCAAACTAAATTAAGTCACTACGTAAACTTAAAAGAATCACTATTTGAACATCCTGTCTAACTGTTACAATTCGTAAGAATTACACATTAACAATATACTAATATTAATTATATAATATAAATAATTTAAATTTTATATTATATTTATTAAATTTAACATATATGATTATAAATTATTTTTTATTTGACATATATTTTTTTTAAATATATATCTTTAAGAAATTATTTTTTAAAGTTTTTTTTTATATAATTTTAAAATAATTTTTGATTTTATAAAGATTTTTAATTTATAATTATAAAATTATAAAAGTATCTTTTAATATTTTAGTAACTTTTTTATGTATTTTTTATGAATATTTAATATTTTATTATTAATAAAATATATACAAAATATTTTTTTAGCATTTTAGATTTTTTTATATAATAAATATTTTTAAAAACCTTTATGATTATAATATACCAATAAATTTTTCTTCTTTTAATATATATATTTATCAGAAATTTTAAAATATAAGATAAGTTTAAATTATTCATTAATTATTATTAATTTATCTAGTTATCTTTTAATTATATTTATTTTACTAATTATAATATATTAGTTATTTATTAAATCTAATAAAATTTTTATTTACATTATTTTATAAATATTAATTGAATTAAAAATCTAAAAATTATAATAACTAAAAAAAAAACCTTTAATTATATTATTATATATTATTTTAAATAAATATTAACATATATAAAAGTATTATTTTATTAAAATATAATAAATTTCTTTTAAATTTGATAAAAAAATTCTTTATTATATATTTTTTTATTACAAAAAGATTTAATCTTTAAATAATTAAATATTTTTATATAAAAATAATTTTTTTATTAACAAGTTAATTTTAAAGTTATTTATTAAACTTTTTCTAATAAAATATTTATTATTAAATATAAACTGATATTTTTTAGATTATTGTAATTAAATATTAGTAACATAATAAATATGATATAGTTAATTTATCAAATAAAATTTAAAAATTTTATAATATTATCTAAATGGTAAAAGTAAAATTTAGTGAAACTATATTAAAATATACAAAATTTTAGAAAAAAATAAAGCTAAAATATTTTATAATAAGAAGAATAACTATTAAATAAGATAATATAGGTCGCTTGATATTTAAAATAAGTTGCTTTTAAAAAAGCACACAATATCAACTTAAAAATCAAGCAAGATAACACCGCTGCAATAGAATACAATATTATAAGCTCTCCTTTCTAAATAATTTAAGTTTTATTATATAAATATATATAATATTAAAAGTTATTTTAATTTTAAAATGATTAAAAATTAATTCTGATTTAAAATATATAATTAAGATTATTTCTTAAATTATAAGAGTTCACAAATAAATTTACTTGCATATTTATTATAAAATTCTCTTTTGATTTTTATAAAAAATTAAATTTATTTAAAATTTTTTTTTAAATAAATTTTATATATATATATTATATATTATAATAACTTTTATTTAATAAAAAATGTAAAGTTATTTATAAACTAAAAATTTGTAATTTTTAAAAAATTGAATATTAAAACATTTTATATTATTAAACTTTACTTTTAGCAATATTAATCATAATGTATGTAATATTATAAAATTTATCTTAAAGAATATAATTTATTAAGAAATTTTATGTAGTAAAGTGATTCAATTAGTCACAAATATATGAATTTTAAGAATAATTTTTTAAACTTTATTTTAAAATTGAATTATTTAAAAATTTCTTAATAAACTTAATATATATTAAACTAAAATTTTCATAATAAATATATTATTAAAATTAATATTTTATATTTTATTAAAAAATTAAAACTTTTTTTTTATGGTTACAGACAAATTTGCCTGCTCTGTATATAGTTTAAGGGATAAATAGTTATCCAAGAAATGCTATGATTTCTGATTCAAATTAAGAAATTAGACATTCAAATTCATGAAATTTATCCTTCAAATATGATCAAAAGTGTATTGGACCTACCAATAACTTAAATGAAGTAAAAGTAACATAATTATTTTATTAATAAATTAATTATGAATAATCCAACTTTATGTTAACAATTCGAATTAACTATTTTTAAAACTTTTTATTTCAATTTAAAAATAAACATTTAAATTTGAAAATTGCCATTTGTAAAAAGATCAAAAATCTTTTTTATCGAAATTATAATTTTTTTAAAAACCCGGGTATATTACAAAATTTTAATAAATGGAGTTACGTAGGTGTTAAAATTTTCTGATCAATCATTTTTCCATGCCTTCACAAAATTCCGAACAAGATAATGACAAAGAAACAAAAATTTTTATAGAGAATTATATCAAAGATGTAAATTCATATTTAGGAGATTTTTTAAAAACCTCACAACCAAAGTATGATCCAAATGAAACATCAATTACAGACCCATTACCAAAGTCTTCAACTACTGTGAAAAACCAAGAAAAAACAACGAAATCTATTTCATTATCGGAATTATTATCGTCACCAACTATAAATCCCGAAATATTTTCAAATAAACCTTTTAAGGATGATAATGCTAGCGAATCTCCTATAAATGATAATTCTTTTTCTCGGCAACAAGAAGCAAAACAATCTTTAGCGCAAAAGCTTAAAATATCAGAAATACGTACAGATTATTTTGATCAAAAAAAAGAAATATGGAATGGCGCATTAATTAATTGTTCAGAATTACATGTTAAATTACAAGAATGTATGTCCTTTGGTGGATTTTTTGATAAAATGAGTTTATGTACGTCTGCGAGAAGAAAATTTTGGAGTTGTTTGGAAGATCAAAAAGTAAGTATTCTCTTTTATATTTCTTTTTCTTAATAAATTATCCGATCTAATGTTAAATTGTATCTTATAGCAATACTTAATAGATAATGGATATGCTTCTCCAGGTAAAAATGTAGCTGAAAATGAAGAAATTTTATATCAAGCTGATTTGTACAATCTTTCTAAACTCGCTCAGGAAGAGCGAACCGAAAAGGAAAAATTAAAATCATAATCTATCTATTTTATTTAGTAATTATTTGTTCTAATGTAAATTTCTTTTTTTTATGCAAAATAAATTAATATTTATTGGTTTGAAGAATTGTATTAAACCGTTCAAAATGTTCAAAATGTTCAAAACGTTCAAGTAAACATTTTCATTCACCCCCCCTTCTCACACTTTATAACCTTCTAGCTTTTCTTGGCCTACATCCATTGAAAGGCAAAGGAGTAGTATCGGTAATTCGTTTAACATTCCATTGATTCTCTACATTAGCCAAAGCTTTAAAAGCAGCATCTCTACCTGGACCAAATCCTTTTATACAAATTTCTACATTCTTGACATTTAACCCTTTTTCTTTGATTTTCTGAATGACTCCAGCAGCAGTTTGATGAGCAGCTTCATAACCCCCTCGTTGAGCTTTCTTAAAACCGACACTACCACCTGATTTAGTTAATAAAATATCACCACGAGAGTTTGTTAATGTTACTAAAGTATTATTATATGATGCGTGAATATGAAGAATATAAGTTTCCTCAGAAGGAACTAAGAAATCCGATAAAAGTTTTGCTACATCAGAATTTGGAGAGGAAGAACGATAAGAGGAAGAGGAAGTTGGAAAAGTTGAGGAAGATGAATTTTTAGATTGAAAATTTGATAAAAAACGATCTATTCCTTCTTTCTCTGAAGGAAGTTCTTGTTTCGTCGATAGAAAAGATGATGATGGTGATGATGGTTCTGAGCTAAAAAGACTTAATATATCGTCAATGTTTTGTTGATTTTTTGATTTGGTGGAACTACTTTCTTGTACGGAATCATTCTTGCTAATTTCATCGATTTCTTTTTCTGCCACTGGTTTGTTTGTTTTATCATCACTTTTGCAGATATTCGATGGCGATGTTAATAATCGTTTTTGAAAAGTAAGTTGTAAGTTACGATATAAATTTAATGAATTTAAATTAAAATTTCTAGAAATTTTAGAAATTGAAAACATTATTCGAAAAAAAAAAAAAAAAAAATTTTTACGCTTCAAAAAATTTACGAATCGGATTTATGATTATTTCACGTGATTATTGAACGTTTGAAATTGTTACATTTTAACAATTAAATTTGAGATATATAAATAAGGCTCAAGTTATTATCCTACTTTTTTTTAAAGTACTCCTAAATCCGGAAGTCGGCTACATATCGATAAGTTAATTATTAAATGTCAATCTAACCCGAATTGATGGTCAGATCAACAACTATTCAAATCTCATCAAACCTTTAATCCTTCCGATGAACGTTTTAAGACAATCATTAAAAGAATTGCTATATGTGCAGGATCAAAAGATCCTTAAGTAAATAGATAATGAAAAGACACGGATTTATTTAATAAATTGTAGATTAGATTAATTAAAATTGAAAAATATATTCCTATGTTTAAAAAATTATAAATATCTCTCCGGGTTATCTTTATTTGCAACATTAGGAATTTTTAATTGGTATCTAAAAAATAATAATAATTTTTCTTTTTTTAATCAAGGTAACGGGATCTAAAATAGTCATGGAGTCATCTTATTGAATCTTTCTAACCAATTTTTACCAACGAGCCCTTTATAACATGTAAATCCCGTTGCTCTGAACAAATCCTCAAGGTTTGTGACGCTCCCCAATATCGTTCGACTTTTCCATTTCTTGTATCTCGTTCTAAGTTATAAAAAAAAAAGGAGTAGGTTGTGGAGAGTCAGACCAGATTCAATCAAAAGAGAGTCTGACATCCCAAACAGATACCATAAGAATAGGGATATCCTGCTAAAGCTTACTCTCGCGCTTCAGAGAAATTGGGCACATAGGAATACACAGTCTCAAGAGGATAATCCCACCAAGAGACACCACCAAGACCTAAGACGCGATGATGTTTTTACTGAATACACAGTCTCAAGAGGATAATCCCACCAAGAGACACCACCAAGACTTAGGACGTGATAACGTTTTTACTGTGCATCGTTAGACCCCACAAAGTTAATAACAGGCAAATTCAAATAACACCCACCTAAAATAATAGCCCGATACTTCAAGTTGCTTGTCTATGATTCCAACCAATATCGTCCACAATAAAGGAAATCTTTGTGTTTTATCGTACCCTTGAATACCGTATCCTTGAATATTAGTAATATCAGAAGTAAATAACCTTGATGTGACTTTTTAATAAACAAAACACGAAAAGACGCGTTGGTTGAAAGGTCGATTTGGAAAATTTGCAATACAGTTCTACGAAAATGCGTGTAAACATCTCGAAACGATATTATATAAAATAAAATTATTATTATAATAAGCGCGAAGAAGACTGATATTGTCAAAACTCAAAATTCAAGAGAGAGAGAGAAATAAAAACCAGAACTGTTTACACGTACACTTTTATTCAGAAAATCACACGGCCAGAAATGACGTCATTTAAAATTTTGTCCGTCATCAATTCCATTTAAGGAAATCAATCAATATACACAATTTACAACTAGTTTCATCAAAGTGATCACCTATAAATTATATCTTTATTAATGCACAATTTTTGAAACTTATATTAACGAAATTGCTACTGCAATGGTCTCATCTTTTACTTGCATAATAAAAATTGATTCTTCGTAACCGTGAATTCAATAGGTTACAGTTTTATTTACAATGGTTTTCGAATATTTTTTTAAATGTATTCACGTGATAAATAACGTAAACATTCTCAACTATATCTCGAATCCTTGATTTTTTCAAATTCCTTTCGTTACCCTTTTGGTTTTCCTTTTCTAATCTTAATCTGTAATACCAATCTTTTTAGTACCATAAATATGCAACTGATTATCTTCACCACCACTCAAAATAACATCATTATCCCAATCAACACTAAAGACTTTTTTAATTTTAATATTCTCTTTCTCCTTTCCTTTATCATCACTTTGTTGTTTAGAGAGAGTATATAGTGGCGTCTTGCTTCTAATGTCCCAAATTTTTATTGTACCATCGTATGATCCACTAGCCAGCATAAATGAATTTGTTGTTGACCATGATATACTGGTTACCCAATTTTTGTGTGATGATAATGTTAATTTTACAATAGCTGTATCTAGAAATGCGAAATAAAAAAAAAAAGGAAGATTAAACTGTGAAGAGAACGCGAAGTTTAATCAAAAAGGATGTTGTAAGTAAGTACCTGTTGCTCTCGGGTCCCATATCCTAATTACTCGATCCGAATGTCCTGAAGCTATCAATCCTGATTTTTTTGAATATGAAATTCCATAAACTACTTTATCACAATTCTAAAAAAGAAAAAAATCGGTTTTATTG